TCTTTGCCAACCAGTTAACAAATGTATGTAGGAAGCGTGCCACAATAGTAATGGGAGACTTCAACTATCCAGATATCAACTGGGAGACAAACTCTGCAGCAAGCAGGAGATCAAATAGATTCCTAACCAACCTAGCCAACAACTTTGTCATACAATAGGTGGAGGAGGGAACTAGATGTAAAGCCATACTGGACTTAATTCTAATTAATAGAGAAGAAGTGATAGAAGGAGTTGAAGCTGCCAGAACCCTAGGCGAAAGTGACCATGTCATACTGGAATTTAATATAACACAAACACTAGCAACAGAAAACAATCCAACCAGTGTCTTGAATTTCAGAAGAGCTGATTTTAACAAACTCAGACAGAATCCAGGAAAGATACCATGGACAAAAATCCTAAAGCGGAAAACAACCCAAGAAGCGTGGGAAACTCTAAAAAATGCGAACATAAAAGCTCAGACCAGCAGAATACCACTGAAAAAGAAAAACAAGAATTTTAAGAAGAAACCAGCATGGCTGCACAAAGATCTCTCTGACAAATTGAAAGACAAAAAGGACAAATACAAAAAATGGAAAGAGGGGCACATAACTAAGGCCAATTATCAGCAGACAGCCAGAACATGTAAAGATGAAGTCAAGAAAACAAAGGCTCAGAACGAACAAAGACTTGCAACAGAAATCATGGATAATAAAAAAAGTTTCTTCCAACATATTAACAACAAGAAAAAAGTCAAGGAAACTGTAGGTCCACTAAAGAGAGAAGATGGCAAGGAAATAACAGGCAACAGGGAGAAAGCAGAGCTGCTTAACTCATACTTTACATCAGTCTTCACACAAAAAGAAACCATAGCCAAACATACCAAAAAACCCACTGCAAAACACAAATTAGAAATAAAAATTAATATAAGCAAGAAAATTGTAAGAGAACACCTATCTGACCTTGATTAATATAAATCACCAGGGCCTGACAGATTACACCCCAGAGTTCTGAAGGACCTGTCAGATGTTATCTCAGAACCACTGCACCACATCTTTCAAAAATCCTGGAGTACAGGGGAAGTACCTGAGGATTGGAAAAGGGCTGATGTGGTTCCCATCTTCAAGAAAGAAAAAAAAAACCAGATGGTTGGAAACTGATCAAAGAGAGAAGCAACCTGGAATTAAGGAGAAACTTCCTGATAGTGAGAACAATTAACCAGTGGAATAGCTTGCCCGCAGAACGTGTGGGCGCTCCATCACTGGAGATTTTTAGAAAGAGGCTAGACAGTCACTTGTCTGAGATGGTATAGGTCAGTGATGGCTAACCTTTTAGAGACTGAGTGACCAAACTGCAACCCAAATCCCATTTATTTATTGTTGGGTGCCGGCCCACTGGGTGGGCTTGGCCTACTGGATGGGTGTGGCTTGCATGGGCGTGGTCTACTGGGTGGGCGTGGCCAGCTCGACATCACTTGCGTCAGGGGCGCTTGTGCGGTCCTGGGCAGGACTGAGGCGGATCTGAGGGTCTCCGGCGGAGGGGAGGTGGGACTGGGGTGAGCGCCAGGGCATGGTCCACTAGAGGAGCCTCACTGAGGCCATGAAGGGGGCCCCTGGGCGGTGGCACAGACTGTCTGGAGCCCTGGGCAGCAAACGTCAAGCACCCAGCCCGGCCCTTGAGCTCCCACGGCACCAGGACCCCACAGCCCTGCCTACCCTAGATGCACTTCCCCGAGGGGATGCCCAGCTGCGTTTACCTCCTCCTGAAGGCTACTGCTTCTGTGCTCACTCTCCTTGGCCAGGTTGCTCATGGTGGGTGCAGGAGTGCAAAGTGCGTGGGTCAGAGTGAGGCCCACTCCCTCTACATGCGAGACCTGATTTTGTAACCAAAGCATCCTCAGCAATAGGATGGGAGACCACCAGGGGATGGAGAAAGGGCAACAGGGCTGCTGGTGGCCAAGTGCTAAGGCAGGACTTCTCTCAGATCCTCCCCCCTATTCCAATCTCTTTCCTTCCTTCCTTCCTTCCTTCCTTCCTTCCTTCCTTCCTTCCTCCCTCCCTCCCATTCCTATCTCCTTCCTTCTTTCCTTCCCTTTCTTTCTTCCTGTTTCCCTTCCCTCCTTTCTTCCCTCCCTCCCTCCCTCTCTCTGTGCCCAGGAAGGGACGAGGAGAGGGGGAGAGGTTGGCAGAGCTTCTCTCAAAGAGTGTTGGAAGAGACCTTTGAGGTCTTTAGTCCAAGTCCCTGCTCAAGCAGGGTACGCATACCACTCCAGACAATGGAATATCCAATCTCTACGTAAAAGCCTCCAGTGATGGAGCATCCACAACTTCTGAAGGCAAGCCTTTTCACTGGTTAGTTGTTTTCACAAGTCCTTAGTTCTAGGCTGGTTTTCTTCTTGATTAGTTTCCATCTATTATTGCCTTCTGATGCTTTTGAAAATAGGTTGACCCTTTCTTCTCTGTGGCAGCCATCAAATATTAGAACATTGCTATCATGTCACCACCCCTAGTCCTTTTCATTAAGCTAGACACACCAAATTCTCACAAACATTTGTCATATGTTTTAGCCTCCAGCCCCATAATCATCTATGTTTACCATCAGTTACCTGTGTACCTTTCCTCCACCTGTTGCTGCTACCCCTGGCCCCTCCATGCTCACATGATGCCTTACCGGTCACCTGCACACTTTCCCACCAAGATCACTGTTATAATAGAGCTGAAATCTATTCACAAACACCAGCCTTAATGTCATTGTCCATATCTACAGGACATGAATTTATAAGAATTAAGCTTAGGCTATAAATTACGTTTCTCTATTCTTTGTATTTTAATTAGGACAACTTAATACCTTAACTAAAGAATTCAAAACAATCACAACTATTTCTACATAAGAAAATTTTAGTAGAATAACTGGTTTTGGCGATGGTGAGATTTAGTGGAAGAGATTTAAAAACACACCTGTTTTTATATTCCTTTCTCCCTATTCAAAATGTTGAACTGATCAATAGTACTTTGCTGAAGAGACTGTTTCACCCTACTTCTCAATTTACAGTTTAATGTTGTAATTCTTCCTCAGATATATAGCATTTGTTTAATTTATTCACATATTGAAGAATTCTGACTATATAGTTGAGATAATTATTGAACTAATTTTATTTATTAAACAGACCATAGAACAAATTATGGACTCATAATTGAAGAATTCAGGAAAATTTCAGGAAAAATCTCAATATTCATATTAATCATAGAAATTTATTCCTGCAACTTGTGTAAGTACACACCCTCTTAATTATACCTTTATAATTTTTTAAATTTCATCATAAAGTAATTATGATATACAGATTCCCAGCTATTTGACAGAATTCACACTAAGCTGTGTTTTCTGCTCTCTAAGATGTTAATATATTAACCAGTTTAATGGAATCAATGATGAAAATATTTTGGGCAGGGCATTTCAGACAGATCGATAACCACCCTAGTCATGCGCTGTTGGGGTAAGACTAATATTCAACACATTATATTGAAAAAGAACAATTTGAAAGAAACGGAAAAAGGCAGATTGCTACTAATATTCAACAGTACTAAGTTTTATCAATAGGCAATACCAAACAATGCAAGAAGGAGAAAGAAGGTTGAAATTGTAATAGCTTATTATCCTGGGTTGAAAACTTTACAGGGATGACTATAGCCATAAATTAAGAGATCTCTAATTCTAGGCTGATAATATTATGATACGAATCCAGTTTTACATATAG